AAAAAAGGAAGTTCGAAACCTCACCACCAGGGGGAAAATGGCGCTGTATGCAATATTTTAAAAACGAAATATGGGTCGGAATCTAACTTAACCTTTTGTTACACGGGTTTAATATGTTGTATACCCTTAAGAAGAAAATTTGAAGTAAGCAAATTACCATTTAAAAGGCGTTAAATTATTCGATAAAAGTCGAGTGCGCCATCCGTGTATGTGAGAAATTCGTCCGTGAAAACCACGAATTAGCGATTAGAAAATGTGAGATCGCAAAATCACTCGCACAAGTGCGTACAATCTGGAAATCGTTTTCTTACAGATCGCTAATTTGTAATTTTTGAAGCCTGAATTCGGCCCTAAAACATGAAGATACTGATTCAAAACGCTTTTAATCGATTTGGGCCAAAGAAATCCCTCATGTTATCTATCTAGTTCCATTGCATTCTCCTACTGCATTCGATTGCATAGCAGTCATTCCACACCGTTTAGTGTTGAATGACAGCTAGTTTTATAAGTGAACCATTTTTCTCTGGAAGAGCAGTCGACAGCTGGACCACTGTGATTGCAGCTCGACTTAGAGTCAATGTTAAAAATGTTTTCGTGATACATGAACTGCAGGGAACGCAGTAACATGGCATTTTAGATACTACGATTTTATGCAGGTCTGGGCGGGGCCCCACCTCACGTGTGTCGCACAGTTACTTAGGACACATTTCACGAATGAACGTCTTATAGGCCAACACTTCCCCTCTTCCCGCCAGACCTCAATCTCTGTGACTTTTGGCTATGGGGTTTCTCAAAAGCACTGTTTATGGTGATAATCTAAACAATTTGGCAGAAATGAAAAATGTCCGTAACATTCCTCCTGATATGCTAAGAACTGCTGTTAAGAATGCAGTAACAGGATTTAACTTGCTCTCGGAAAAATGCTGGACGCTACATTGAACATGCTTTGTAACACGTTTCGGAAACTATTAAACACATTTTAAACATGTTTTCATGTCTTATTTCATTTACAATATTGTATACAGCGCAATTTTTCCCCTGGTGGTGAGTTTTTGAACTCTTTTTTTTTTTTTCCCGCGGAAAATAAATTCCCATAACCTCCTTTACACGATTCCCAAGTTTGATAACATTTGGTCCGGTAGTTTTCCTTTTATGACCATTTCAAATTGGAACTTTAATTACTTAATTATAACCACCATGTAAATTAAACTTTAAAAGTCTGACAGTTTGGTTCAGTCAAGTCCCAGCTTTAAAAATATATATATTTAAATATAATATTTTATATTAATCCTCTTAGAAAGAATGTTTTAAGAAGCTAATTTTTCTCTCGCGTTATAGATTGTATAAAAAAAAACATGATCTTTAATATGATTTAGATTGTTTCAGATTGTTTCAGCCGATATAAGAATCGGGTCACTCGGTGGTACAGAATAAACCCTGCTGGACTGTTTTATTTTTATTTCTTTGTCATTTAGCAAAAATCTTTTAATTAAAATATTTATGCTTTGGACTTTGCTCTAAACTTTGTTTATAGTTAAAATGTCTAGAAAATGAAAAGCTGTCTTCAGCTGAAACGCAATTCATGCAATTGATATTTTAAAAAAAAAAATGACAAGAATGCAAAATTTATGGAAGTCTAGCAATCGAAAAATCTTAATTTTTTTTGTGTGAGCACAGCACTGAAAATAACTGTAGAAGGAAAGAAGAAAAAATTAGGGAGAAAAGTAAGCAAGCAAAAATTTGCAGGGAAATTTGGCTGTCAGACATACCAAGATGTTTCAAAAAGTTGGACGCTTTTGAATATACTTTCAGGATACTTCAAAGAATTTAGGTGTTTCAAAGAGAAAACACTTGGACGTGTACACCACCATCACCAAATACCATCAATTGAGCTTGTGTTAACAGAAAAAGACAAAAACGATATCATTACAGATTAAAGTGAAGAGCGACTATGGTTATGTATATAAATTTAAATTACGTTATAGAACATCATATATCGTATCATAAATGGAGAATCCCATGATTTTCTCAGTCGAATTATTTGAAGATTCAGGAGTTTATCCAGTGATGTATGTGGATGTCACCTAAAGACATTTTTTTTTTTTTTTCCTCCTGATGAAACAGCGGCCGAGCGTAAAGTCGCTGAACACTGGTAGTTCGGTCCGAGGTTCAAATCCCGCGAACGGGTTTCTGCATCCCGCATGGGCGTTTTCATGGTTTTCCCCATATGTAACGTGTATGCGAGCCAGTTTCCCTTAGAAAGTCCTCCACGAAGGCATCCCTTCCCTTAGGCATAATTAAATAAACCAAGACCTCTTGATGAAACCAGACTTTCCTTTCATCTCATACCTTCAAAATGTTTAGTCTCTAAAGACTGATAAAGGCTCTGACCAAATACTTCATGATGAACTTTCTAAGGAAAACCAGCTAGCATACACGGTACACATGAGAAAATCCAAGAAAACGCCCATGTAACCAGCCCATTTACCAGGATTCGAACCCCGGAATGAACTACCAGTGTTCAACGATTCTCTACCGCTCGGCCGTTTGTGGACCTTTATGAAATGGAAGGCGATAACTTTATTTAAAATGATTGTCAGAAATACCAAGATTAATTTAAAACTTTTTAATCTTATGATATTTGATTCTTGCGATTTCAAAAATAAAATATTTGACTATATTATGAATAACATTTTAAGAAACCAAATGTAGGATAAAATTGTGTAAAGCAATGGGCACAATGATAAAACTGTTTAAAGCAGTGTATGCAAGTCATCCTATGTTAAAATGTCCGTTATACATCTCTCTTATTTATATATTTCTTTTCTGAACGGAACATTGAAAGGCGTGTAAAACTGTGCTTTACTGTAATTTCTCTTTTAATATATGCAGTTTTCAAATGCATCATAGTCTGGGTTACAAAATATTCTTCGGAAAGAAACGCAAGTTCAAATAAATAAAATCAAATTCTGGAAAATTTATATTAATAAATATATTTAAAATGCTCAGTTCGAAGGAATAAATAGAAAATTTTAAAACAATTATCTGAAGAGAGACAATGCAACACAAACAATTAAAATAAAAGTATAAAAATTTAAAAATTTCCTAAAATAATAACTATGACAAATAAATATATATAAAGAAAACTATTTGAAAAAAAAAAAATAAATGCTGCACCGTTCTTGACGCAGTTTGAATAGGTAAATAGAAATTTTTAAAACAGTTATTCGAAGAAAAAAATGCAACTTTTTTTTTTTTTTTTTTTTTTTTTTTTTTTTTTTTTTAAACAACTTAAACAATTAAAATGAAATTCGAAAAAGAAAAATTACTTAAAATAATAACAGTTATAATAAAAATATATATAAAGAATATTATTTGGAAAAAAGAATGATGGTGACTTTTTTTTCCTCTCACTGGATAGGAAACAAGGTTGCCATATATTAAGAAGTTCGCCAAGTGAAACTATTCTTGGCGCAAACTGAACAAAAAGTGCCAACATAAATTTGTGAATTTCTCCGTAAATTTCGCTCCAAATTTTACAAAATTTCATATTTAAGCGTAATTTGAGTCGTAGAATCGAAATATGTTAAAAAAATTGGTATGTTATTTCAGAAAAAGTCCGATTTTGTGTCAAAATACCTATGTTAGAATAGTGCTATATATAAATCTAATATATATACTAAGTCGCGCTTTCGAGACATGAAGAACTCAATTTGAATTTTGTCAATCGGCCCAGTAGAACGGGAGATATAGCACTGTCCCATTTTTTTTTTTTTTTTGAGCAGTGTACATGTGTCATATACATTTAGTTCTTATTTATTAAATTTTATTAGACACAGTTTTTGCAGCAAGTTAAAAACATTAATTAGATATTGTATAAGATATTTCATTGAAGTTAATACTAAAAGTCTCTGCTTGATTTTTTTGTCAGAATTTTTACATAGTTAGCAGATCTTCATTTCAGGAACAGATATATTAACTTTGTCACAATTTATCTTGTAAATAATATAAATGCTTTGTATATAGTTATTTCTTTTTTATTTATGTCTAGTTTGGTATGCGGCAGTTTTTGCAGCATGTTAAAATATTAGTTAGAGGTAGAAGTGTTTACTAAACCAATAAATCAGCATTTAGCTATTTCATGACAAAATTTAGAATCAAGGAGACTTAATTTGCCTAACTTTTAAATGAGAAATGCAACTTATCTTTAATTTCATTCGAATTTTCATCTTTCAAACATCTCAGATTTCATAAAAAAATATATTGTGAATCAAAACAAAAAGGGAAAAAAAAAATCTGAAAGCTTTCAGATTTTACATTACATCCAAAGAGATCTTTTTTTCACCTTTTGTGCATTGCCTTTATTTAATAAATGTTCTTCACACTTAAAACATAAAATTCAATTCAACAGCAATATCGCAAAATAATTTCAAAATGAGCATATCTTTAGAATTTCCGATACACAGTCTCACACGCTGGAGATTTTTTCCCTCCATACAGTTTTGCCAGTTTTGCTCGCTTTGAAATCGTTAAGTTTGTTAATCAAAAATTCGTTGAGGTGTTAAAAAATATAAAATCGATAACCAGACAAATCTCAAATTCCAAATTAGAACTTCTAGATGCCATATTTGGTGGAAGATTACGTTATTAAAAATTTGATAGCTCTAGGTATCGTTTTTATCACAATGCGGGAAACATACATACATACATTTATGCAGATTCTTCATTATTTAATTTCTTTAAGTATAACACAGGGTGATACTATTTGGTGGCAACAATTTGAAAAGTGAATCGATATTTAAAGTTTTTAACGCAAAATCCTAAAACAAAATTAATAGCCTTTCTGGGTTAATGCCATTTGGACTAAAAAGAAAATTTTAAATTTTTTCTTGTTCAATTAAATTTTTTAAAGTTACCTTTAATTCTGCAAAAGGTTAAGCAGTACTTAAATACACCCAGTAGACAAAAAGAAGTAGTTGATATTTCTAATTCTGACTTACTTCATAATATGCAGATGGATATAAAATATGTGGGAAAGTATTTTGTGCATAGAGAAGATGAAATGTAATAGCTGGATAAGGAAGATATGGCAATAAAAAGAAAAGCTGGTTTTGAGCTATTTGCTGTTGGATAATGTCCACAAAACAAAGCCACTCTGGTCCTTCCCAAACCTGCAAAAAAAGTAATTGCATTAAATAAAAAATTTTGCATGTATTAAAAAAGTAACTGCATATAGCTGATGTATTATTAGAAATAAACAATTTACAATCAAAACTCATATCACCACCACTCAGTTAAATCATCACCCTCTTTAACCCATCAGTTTTACAAAGTTCCAACCAATTAAATAGTAAAATAATGGTAAGGTTCTCTGATAAACTGTTGTCTTATAGTTTCTAGACACAAAAAAGTTTTTTTTTCCCTCCCCTCAAGTTAGAAGTCAAGGTCATATAAGTCTCAGAAAAAGAAACTTACAGTACATTGTCAATCCTGTCAGTCTCCTCAGTCTCACCCTTCTTTCACTCATTCACACAATAGATGGACACCTGTATGTGCCTTCAGCATTTGTGGGAAAATAGACAGATGTCCACATGTTGAATATATGCCCATGTGTCTTGGCACATGCTTCCAACTTGAATTATTCCTAAACCATTCCGGTTTTTCCCCCCCCCTTAAAGGTTGAAAATGGAAACTTGAACCCTCTTATTTTTCAGTAAAATGTCAAGAAGTGTAAAATTTTAAATTTTTGAGAAAAAAAAGAAATTTATCAAGTTTGAAAAATCAAATCAGTCGAAAGCTGCCTTTGCAAAAGCTCGATGAATTCCTCAAACATTGTTAAATGATCTTTTTCCATTATCAGACGAAATAGATCAAGACAATTAAAAAAAAAAAGGAAAGATGAATAGTGTCTTAATAAGAAGAAATCTAGAAAGTTCTTATCACCTGGATAAAATATGCCACAATACAAAATGTGCAGATTTCCACTTTAATTTTGAAAGAAAAAGCTCTGCAAATTGTTGTTGAACTTTGTGCAGAAATCTCTACAGCTAGTAATCCATGATTGGAAATGCTGAAGATAGGGCATGCTGAAGATAGGGGTTAAAAAAAAGTCGAGTGAGAGACACCTAACATTGATCTAGAATTTGCTCTGGATTTTTGAAAAAAAGAAATATGCAAACAATATGCTTCAAATGACATTTTTAATTTGGATTGGTTTATGAAATCTTGCTTGACAAAAATCTTTCTTTAAAGAAGAAAAATTCATTTTGGGAAGAAACAATGTGAAAGAAAAGTTTTGCTAGAATTCAAGAAGTTGATGGTCTCAGCTTCTCAATGGCAATTGAGAAGTTGATGGTCATAGAAAAATCCAAACCCCTTCTGGTGTATTAATAGTATAAAATTTTTGCCAGTGAGCTAAGACACCAACTTCAAAGCTTGGATGATTTCAGAACTATGGGAAAAGGCAATCAAGTATTAGATACATCCTCCTTTTACATTACGGTGCTTGACGCAATTTTCTACATAGTGAAAAGTTAAAGCTTGGAAAGCATTCTACCAAAAGCACTGCCAATTACTTCAGATATGCAGGTTTCAAAATAAATTCTTTAGAAGCTGATCCGAAGACAATGAGAGTGAAAATGATGTCTTTTCATCAGACTAATGTTGTGAACTAAAAACTGCAATTTAGAATTTGAAATGGATTAATATGCATCTGTAGACAGTGAAGTAATCATGAAATTTAGAGAAATTTCAGTGCTGAATATTGTTTCCAAAATAAAAAATTTAACTGTCCCAAGTCCACGGATGAAAGTTATCATGAACTGGAACAAGTGTCAATGTGTAAAGATGATATAACTGCAATAAATACCATTAAAGGATTTCAAATTTCATGGGAGGAGGAAGAAGAAAAATCTGAAAGTTTTCAGACTTTATATTACACTCAAAGGAATGTTTTGTGTGCTATCTTTATTTATTAAATATCATGTTCTTTGCACTTAAACCATAAAATTCAATTTAGCAGCAATATTGCAAAATAATTTTAAAATGAGCATACCTTTAGAATTTCTAATACACAGTCTCGCATGCTGGAGATAAAAATATTCGCTTTGAAATCATTGAGTTTGTTAATCAAAAATTCTTTAATGTTTGACAAAATATGAAATCGATAATAAAAAAAATTTCAAATTAGGGCTTCCAGATGCCCATATTTGGTAGAAGATTACGTTATTGAAAATTTGATGGCTCTTATGTAGCATTGTTTTATCACAATGCGAGAAACATATATACATTTATGCAGATTCTTCATTATTTAATTTCTTTAAATATAACACAGGACGATAATATTTGGAGACAACAATTTGAAAAGTGAACCAACATTTAAAGTTTTCCAAACGAAATTAATAGCTCTTCTGGGTTAACACCCTTTGGGATAAAAAGAAAAAGATTTTGCAATGGTAGGGACAAATCAGTATTCAGGCTAGCATTCATTAAATATATTTTTAATAAAACAGTAAGTATTTTTTTAGTTTATTTCTTAATCTGTAAAATGCAATTAATTTTCTAAAGCACTGCAGTGTACATTTGGAGATAGTAGTTTCATAAATGCATTTTTAATAATAATCAGAAACATTATGTATCATACAGTCAAATGAATATCTTCTATATCATTTCTATAAAGTCTGGCATTGTAACGTTATTTTTGACTGGTTCACTGGGGTGACAGTTTAAAAAGGGTTGATCTAGAATAACAAAGTAACAAAGTGCACTGAACAAATAACAATAGATCTTTTAAAAGTGAATTATAAAATTTGAAAAGTCTGAATGTAAAAAGACTTCTGAAGAAATACTGAGTATTGCCTTTACAGTCAAAAGTTCTAGCACTATGAAACAAACATAACACTATGCCTATGTACATATATAAATACGATAAGGCTGAATTTATAAATTATACAGAGTAATGTATTATTAATATTAGATATACCATGAGTTACTAAGTGTACATATTACTGCATTATATATTAACAATGTATTTTCTTTCATATAAAACCAAACACTAAGGAATTTAAACTTAAAATAAATAAATTTGAATAAGCCTAAAGGCATGAGAGAATAATGATATAAGATGTCAGGTTTGGTGACAAAAAACAACAATCTTACCAGTCCTCAATAGGCCTGTACAGGCTGTTATATTTCATTATTTGCAGCCTGTTTTCATTTAGTACACATTTGAGAACTTAAAAACAGTATTTCTGGGAAGCAATAAATTGCAGATAACAAATCAGAAAGTAAAATACATTTTTCTTAAATCCAATGCAAAAGATAAATGACATGAGTCTTGTAAGCACAAATAATATTAGTGCCAATTGGTGGAATTCAATACAAATAAAGAAAAAATACTTACAGCATCTAAATTTCTTTTAAACTTGATATTTAAATAATTTTCAAGCACGCCAATGTAAACTTTCTCATAATCTCCAAATGCTTGTATGGTTTGATAAATGGCATTAAAACTGAAATTATTTTTTTTTTTAAATACTCAATTTAACACACATAAATATTTTTCAGAATAACACATAGGTTGGAACTTTAATACTGGAAACACTGTTACATACATACCACAAAACAGAATCACTAACAAAACAAAAAAAAAAAAAAAAAAAAAAAAAAAAAGATGACTTCAAAACAAATCATTGAATGCATTCACAGATATATAGCCCAACAGTATCATTAATGTCTTTGTGAGGCATGCAAGGAATTACATTGCTTCATAAGATAGCACAATTGGTAAAAATCCTTCAAAGAGAAATATTACAGTATGGCACATCTAGTTGGGTCATCATTTAGGTGAAAGAAAATATGAGATTTTTGTGCTTTTGTGGAAGTTGATCAATACAAGAAAATGCCCGAGTTAGCCCAAGAAAGAGATTATTGCATAAGATTGTGTGACCAGCATTGCATAAGAAGTTATTAAGCAAGAAAAATGTCATATACAGTCCACCTATTGCAGTATATTAAAACTGCAAAACTTTTCAGACACTTAGCTATAAGGACTGCAATAGCATGTCTACAAAATGTTTTTCATGTAATAAAAAAAAAAAATTGCTTCCTTAAAAAAATACAGCCTATTAGCATATTTTTAGCATAAATGTAGCAACAAAAGCACTTTCTGTAGAATCTTTCCATCATTTTGATGCACAATGCTTAGGTGCATGTAAGCACAATCTACTGCTGCTTTGTTCCCTGGATAGGTCTGGAAAGTCATTTACCACCCACCAAATTTCCTGGACTTAAGTCCTGTGATTATGATTTCATTACTAAGAAAAGTAGCGCTTCATGGCATTCCATTTCAAACTATTCCAAAGTTTATACAGATTTACTGCTCCATCTGAATCATCCACTTAACAGAGGCTGCTACAAGTATGTCAGAGTATTGCTAGTGGGTAGCTGAAATGATTGTGACAAGCACTGAAGGGTAATAAAAATTTAATGTGCATGTTCTGTACCAGATGTAAAAAAATAGTTGCCAATATTAAAATTCTAGCACTCATATTTTGGAATTTGAAAAAATTATGTATTTTTTCTTTCAGAAACAGTATAACAATTTTATAAATGCAGTATACATAAGCATATTTGAAATTGTGCAATTTAAAATGAATCACACAGAAATGGGATTAAAGAGTAACTTACGAGCTCGAATTTTTGGCATGGAATATATCTTGCCATACTACAAACAAACTTTTTTGTACATCCTTTTGTCCAATATGTAAACCTTTTAAATCATGAACTTTCAGTTCCTTCTGCTTTCGATGAATGAACTAATAAAGGTAAATGTACGTAAAATTAAACATACTTAAGTAAGGAGTTATTAAAAAAAAGCATTCTAATCATATCTACTAATTTAAAGTAAGAAACTGAAAGAAAAAACATAAACAAATAAATTCATTTGGCACTGGAATTCACAAACTCATAAGCAACAGAATGGATTGAACTACACATTCAACATTATTTGATCCTGAAGTAGATTCAGCTAAAATAAAGTACACGGATAAAAAATCACGAGATGCTTACGGAAGGTGGGAAAAAGTATTATCTATTGAAATATATTAATATGATGTTACTCTATCTTTGGTAACAATGCATAAATTAAGACACTGAGGTATTCTTTTGTCCAAATTTTGCAAAATAACAATAGAAATATACATTTTTATGTGAAATATTAGTACAATTTTTATCATGCACAATGTCTTTGTAGGTTTCAAATGTCTTGTTCTGCACTCTCTCACCGGTTTCCATCAGATTTCAAGGCTCTAAGCAGGCCAACCAAATTGTACTACTTGATTTTCTTTGAACTATTATTTAACAGATACTGTTATGGTTAGGTGCTTTGTCATCCATTCTGATGAGAGGTCTCTTTGGCATAATATTGGCAAAATTGAGCAGACATAATTGCCAAGGTAAATTCCATGCTTAAACGTTATGTCCACCAAAACCAACAGGTCACACCTGTATTATACAAAACAAATATGATTCACAAATGAATACTGCCCACCTCTAAATTTATGAACGAAAATGATAAATTAAATAATTACCATTCAAATGACTGTTGCCAAACCCATACTTTGCCATCAGATTGCAACACACAGCACTATATCTGAATTGACTAGCTTGTAGATTCTGTTTTAAGTCTTAAAGGATGATAGTAATTCACAATAATATATATATATATATATATATATTAATCTGAAGGTTTTTCAGATTTTACATTACACACAAAAGGGCATTTTTTTAATGTTTTGTTTGTTACCTTTATTTATTAAATATTATGTTCTTCGCATTTAAACCATAAAATTCAATTCAACAGCAATATTGCAAAATAATTTTTAAACGAGCATATCTTTAGAATTTCTGATACACAGTTTCGTGCACTGGAGATAAAATTGTTTTCTTCTGTACAGTGTTGCCATTTCTCGCTTTGAAATTGTTGAGTCTGCTAATCACAAATTCAATTAAGTGTTAAAAAATATGAAATTGATAATAAAATAAATTCCAAATTAGGGCTTTCAGATGCCCATATTCAGTGGAAGATCACGTTATTCAAAATTTAATGGCTCTAGGTACCATTGTTTTATCATAATGCGAGAAACATACATACATTTATGCAGATTCTTTATTATTTAATTTCTTTAAATATAACACAGAGTGATAATATTTGGTGGCAACAATTTGAAAAGTGAAATGAACAGTTAAAGTTTTCAATGCAAAATGCCAAAACAAAATTAATAGCCCTTCTGGGTTCACATTTCCTCTGGGCTAATAACAGTTACAAGTACCATTTAGAGCACTGTTATGAGTGCAGTTGCAACTACAACTTAAGTTCAATTGCATCACCAAAGGAAATTCTTGGAGTTCTCCATAAATGATGTACACATAGATACTCTTGCACACACCTAAAGTTTCAGTCTCCAGATGTTCTATTTTGGAACACGTCTTTGCCATTCTCAACCAGAACATGGAGGCTAAGCAAGTGGATTAATACTTTAAAGCTTGTGATATATTTTAAAAAGCATGATATTCTTAATATTTAAGAGAAATATCATCAAATAGGATAGGCATGACTCTATGGCCATAATTTTGTCAAAGCATTAGATTCCCCAATTACTTCATATACAATAATGTGTAATTAAACATCGTACAAATAGGATTTTTGAAGCCAATTTATGGAAATTAGATAATGTCATACAATTTTGTATTTTACTATACTTTTTTCATCTCATATTTTTATAAAGTTAAATTTAATTATTTCCCTAATTTTTCACCAGAGTTACTGCAACTGCCTTTACTATATCAGGTAAGTACATTTTATTAGACACAGACTTGATATATAGATCTGGGGCCATTCATTTTTATACATGATTCACATTTTCCTTTAGACCGTGTAACATATAGTATATATTTACAAACATGATTTTGTATTTAACATACACATTTAAAACTAGTAAAACAGATAAATACAAAAGTATAATAAAAGCATTTCTTACTTGCAGTGTAGACAAACAAGATCGAATATCATTGGAAGTTTTCTCACAAAGTAAAGTCAGAGCTGCCATCTCTGCTATTAAGCCTTCTTTTAAAGACACCTAAGAAAAAGCAAAACTCTCAAAGAATCAAAATATGTATAAACAAGCAGCTGTTAAAATAGTACTAAATCAAAATTTCCTGCTTTTAGAGCAAATAAAATAAATCACTATTATTTCATAAATTCAAAGAAATATTTTACCTATAATGGAAATAATATGAAATTGCATGCAAAAGCTGAACAAAACTCTCTTATTGAAAAAGTGTCTATTTAAAATAAAACAGAAAATTAAATTTTAATTTCAAAGTTGTTTATTCTTTCAATATTTTTTAATTTAATGTGCATCAATTTAAATTGCTAAATAGATGTTAATACGGCATTCATTCATTTATATATGAAAAATTTAATGGATTTAATCTTTTATGAATCAGTAACATTGCTGCAAAACTTTTAATAAATTTCTTTATAAACATATATTTATACCATTAACATGCTTTGCATTTCTTTCATTTATGTTAATGTGTTAGAGAATTTTCAATAAACATGCTTGAAGTCTACATTCTTATACTCTGAAAATATATGTGCAAATGAATTAAATGTGCATGCAAGAATTTTATACCTCATTTAGACGAGCAGTCAAGCGAGATGATGTTGTAGGAGGAAAATTCAGTACAAGAGCTAACTGTCTTAAAGGCTTCAGAGCTGTGCTATACCTAATTTAGAAAATAAATTACCATACAAATGTTTTAAAAATTTGCAATCACTAAACTTTTCATTACAACCCAAAACTTTTAAAAAAGAATTTAATTTTTTTTAAACTAAAAAACAGCTAAAAGCTTAAAAAATGTGAAAAAAAACAAGTAAAAGTTTGCTTCTCTTCTTGATAAACATAATAGCTACTGCTGCCATGTCATGACACTAAATTTTTACATCTGAATAACATTAAAAAATAGTTTAAAATAAATTTCAATTTTAAAAGTACCATATTCTGCATTTTTTTTAAATAAAATGGTGTAAACAGAAAAATGCCAAAATATTAAATAAAGTATATAATGATTCAAACAAAATAAAAGACATAAATATATACTGACATTTGTAATCTATATGTTAACAGATAATTTCATTACAATCATTAAATTTTATATCGAGATGAAAATCAATTGCCAAATTTGGGATCTTGCCACATCACACTACTGATTCAGAATCCGATTCTGATGCTAATTCCGGCTCATCAATGTAAAAGAGTGAGTGGAAGATAATATCTTGAATATCCAACACACAGTCAGTTCTTCCCTATAGTAAAGGAACTAAACTAACCTCTAGGAAAAAAGCTTGTCTGGAAAGAATGTTCTTATTGTGGTTCATTGTAGTGTGTTCAGAGCTCCAGAAAGATAAAGGATAGCAAAACAATATAAATTTGGTTTTCTAAATTATTTCTTCAAATTTTTCTTGGAATTTTTATAGCTGCCAGTTATGAATTTAACCATCATAAACTGGTCAAATACCCCTTAACATTTTACGTATTTAACACTGTCAATCTTATTACTGAAGTCACAGCAATGATGTTTTGTAATATTATTTATGTATATTATATAGACATAGAAAGCAATTTTAGTATATATTATTATTATTTGTAACTGTTAACTCTTATTAACATTTTTTAATTAATATTTTTCTTCACTTTATATACACAGAATATCATATAAAGAGAAATGAATTAAAACTTTCATCACTATGTCATTATTTGTTGAAATAAAATAGGAAGAATTATTTTCCCCCATTTGCCACAAGTAGGTGAAGTAATTCAGTAAACTTATATGCACAAATAAAGAATTTAAAATTTGGCTCAAAAGAAAAATGCAGCTGATCCATTCTTATTACAAAAAACACTCAAGCAAAAAACATCTTCATTGTTTTAATCAAAATTACTATTATAGATTGCCAAAATATAAAATAAAGTAAAAGTGTAAACAAGCAGTTAAACTTAAATAAAATCGAATTTTTAAAAAATACTAACGGATCATTGCAGATACAAATGAGAGGTCGCATCAATAAAGGAATGTCGCCTTTCTTTCTCTTTCCTCTTGTGATACCAGTAGATTTTATAAATGACAACAGCACATTGATAGATTGCTGCAATTAATATGAAATGCCAATTATCTTTAAATGTTTTTTTGTTATAACAATTACTAATAAATGAATACTACTCCTAAAACATAAACTTTCACCACAAATACCAAAGGACATGAAACAGCTCATAAACACATATTTACATATATTCATATCAAAAACCATTTTGTAGAAACTAAAATATAACAAATATGAAGAAAATCTCATAAAACATTAGCAACTATTTAAAACAAATAGCCAAATATACATTAGCAACTATTTAAAACAAATAGCCAAACATACAACAAACATAAAAATACAAAATAAAAATTAACGTATTATTTATTCCACTCACTTTGAAAAGCTAAAAACTTTACCTTTATTTAAAAAAAAATGCCAAGATTAATACAAGTATTTGACTAAAATAAATTCATAATTTTCAGTTTCAAGAAATTATTCAAAATTAGCAAAAACCATAAAAAAAGTTAAAATATTTTTTCCTCCTCAAAAATATGCCAGGACATTCCAGGTGCATAATTAGGGGAAAAAACTGTAACCCCCAAAAAATTGACTATAAAAAGGAACAGAATCCAACAAACAAGATGTAATTAACCCTTTAATTGGCAAATATCCAATAACAGCCAATGAAAACACATGTTACTTCTAAGCAGTCAAGTCAAATAAAGGGCTAATATCTATTTTATTATTACTTATATAAAGCTGCTTTAATTTAATAACAAGATCAGCACTAATGTAGTGAATATTTTCCTTTAACTTACAGCAGGTGCACCATCTATTTCATCCAGAACTAAACAGTTTGGTCTTTTATCTTGCTGCAAAACAGATTTCATCTGTGTTGCTGCTTCTAATTGTGTTCTAAAAGCTTCTGGATTTCTATCATCACTGTAATATAGAACAAATACAAAATACGAACAGCATGAAACATGCACTATTCATATTCTTTATAAAACAGTAATTGAGAATAATAATTTTAAATGCATTTTCATAAGTACTACATTATTTAACTGAAAGGGGAGTGAAAATTATGAAAACATTCAATTCAAATAAAATTTCAAAGATTTCAGGGCAAAATATGCAGATGATTAAAACATCAAGGCAATGCCAAATAGATGTGTATCAATTATATATGTAAAATGTATATTGAAATGTGTTTATCAAGAGTTTATAATTGTCATTACCTTTGCATTAGAGTAAACCTAACTCAAATGCAAAGGTAATGACAATTATAGACTAGTTTAAAGAAATCTTGCGGACTGTACCATGTCTTAACATAAAAAATTTGAGGCGAAATTGTGGCTCAGTTAGAGCTTAGTTTGTAAAATTAGAAGAGAAGGAATCCTATGGAAGACTGTCAGAAAAAAAGGAGAAATAAATAAATAAAATAATTAATAAAATAGTAAAATAATAAATTATTAAAATAATATAATTAATTGTTAAAATAACTAATAATTAAACTAATTAAATACTTAGAATAATTAATTATTAAAATAATAAAATAACCAATTTGAAAATATTTATTAAATGAATGGCAAACTTTTCATAAACAACATAAAGTACTGGACCTCATCTTATTTAAGGCTCTGGATGGAATTAAAATGTCACTCAAAAACTAAGAAATCTCAATCCAACTCTGGCTGAATTTAAGCTCCAAATGTACAGTATAATGAACTACTTCAAGGGCTGATAGAAACAAAGACTATTCTTTTCCTAGCACATCAATGAAAAAAGTTAAATTGGTTAAAGCATCACTAATGACAATACAGAGAATGCTATAAACAATAACATACTATGGAAGAAATTTCAACGGAGAATGTGTAAATGTCAAAACAAAGAAGATTCCATGATCCCCTACCAATATAGCTGTCAAGTAGAATGCGACAGGAGAAAAAAATTTCCTTGAATCCAAGAGTTAGCTGAGAACAGAGTAATAAATGACAATTTTCATTCCCTCTGTTTGTCTACATCATTCCAAAAAGCCTGCAGGTTCTCTTTTCCATCAGGAGATACTAGCACTGGAATAACAAATTTAGCTGCTTTCATAAATTAATTGTACTTCCTGGAGAATAAGTCTTTAACATGTAGGTGAGCGCTTTTCTTTCCTTCCAAGGATTTGTTTCTGAGGGAAAGAGAGGCATGCATTCAGAAGTTAGAATCGATTTTTTAATTTAGTTTTACTATTAAAATAAAATTTTCGAGATCAAAAGAATTTTCTGCTGGAACTGTGGTTCAGTTACATAACAGAAGTGCAATCTGACTAGAATTTCATTTTTTCTCAAAAATTAAGCAGTAGCCGTGCCATGCGCAATTTAAACTCTGAGCTCAGCAAAGTGGTTCAGAAGAACGTGATTGTCTAAAATGTTGCTGTCACTGTACCCTGAAAGGAGCAACGTAGTAACATATAACATTAGACAGCCAGGGAGACAAAAAAAATATCATGACACAATATTTGAAAACCATGGATAGGCTATATTACACCAGGTTTTCACAGCCCTGGCAGTATGACTTTGTCTACGGATACGTATACATATAATTCAAGCATTACAGCATAATTTTGGTATGAGTCTAGCATTTCAAGAGGCCACATCACTGTTTATAAATAATCACAGAGTACTGTCAGAATTGTTTGCCAACAAATTAAATCAACCAACAGAAAAAAATTTGCAACTCCTATATACATGTTAGTAGAAATAAAGACACTGAATACAAACCTAGCATTTAATTCCACTACATTGTACCCAGCTTGTTTTGCAATTATAACAGCTAATGTAGTTTTTCCTAGACCTGGTGGACCAGACAGAAATGCAACCTATAAAATAAGATTATTTATAGAAATAAGTACCATATTTTATATAGTACTTATCGAGACTTAAGTTATTATATTAAATTTTGTAACATAGGAGTCTTTCATAAAAGTCATGTTCATCTCAAGTGCAAGGCAAACAGATAATCAATATTAGTGCTTATTCATAATACAATGTATATATGTACCATAATAAATTAAAACAAATGAATATCATATTTACTCACACATTTCCCCATTTTTAATTTCATCTAATTTCCTTGAAATCAGGGGAGAATTATGTGACAATACAGTTTTTGAAGAGATGGAGAGAACAAGCATATATGATTGAAATGAGAATATAAATACCATATACTTCTATAAGTTAATATTGTCAATATCATTAGCTCAAAGGGGTTAGCCCAGACAGGCTATTAGTCTCAAAACGGCATTTTTCATCAGTTCATTATAAATGTCTGTTTCACTTTTCAAACTGTTGCCACCAAATATTATGACTCTGTATTATAATTAACGAAATAAAATAATGAAATAATCTGCATGAATGAATGTATGTTTCTTGTACTGTGAAAAAACAATGGTACCTAGAGCCATCAAATTTTGAATAATGTAGTCCTCCACACGAATATGGACACCTGAAAGCCCAACTTCAGAATTTTGAACTTGTCTATTTCATATTTTGTAAAACTTTAACAAATGTTTTATTAATAAACTCAATGATTTGAAAGCAAACAGTAGCAACACTTTATTATACTTATAAAAAAAATATCTTCAACATACGAGACTGTTTATCAGAAATTCTAAAGATATGCTGTTTTTAAATATTATTAGCCCAAGTTCTTGAAACATGCGTGTAAATGCAAAAGACGCCCCTTTGAACTTGATATAAAATCTGAAAGCTTTCAAATTTTTTTTATATATTTTTATTATTCTGCATTTTATAGATGATCTTATGTAATTTAACACTTCTTTTATAATATGTGGGTTCCCGAAAAGCACTCATTTCTGATATCGTTATCATTAATAAATCTTTTGTTTTTTCTAAAATCTGATTAGTTTTGGTTCAATTCCAAAAGTGTTGTAATTTTGAAATCATTTATTCTGTCATATTTTAACAATTGCAATTTAAATTCTGCAGTATAACTGTGAGTGCTCTTGTGTACCATCACTCCAAAAATATATGAAATTACACTGAGTCACTTTAACTGGCAGTAATGTTTTAACAAAATTTACATTAACTCTGAACCCTTCACTTCAAGACTGTATGAAATTTTTTCATTAAATTGAGACGTGGATATCAAGATAACTGCAGTGTATTATGAATATATTCTAAAACAATGAGTCTATATGAATATAAGAAAGTGTTCTAAAACAATGAGTGCCATACTTCACTTTTGTAATTTTGAGAGAAGGAGAGGTGTGCACTTCCAGAGAATATAAAGACTTCTTATGGTTCTGTCTTTATGAATATACCCTGCAAACAGAATCTCAAGTCTGTCTTTATTTTCTGTACACATTGCATTTATAATTTACTGTTTCTGCTGTTTTATAGGATTGCTATTTTGTTATTCTTCATTTACTACATAAAACACTAGTTAGTCCAGGATAGGATTTTTGTCTAGATGCCTATTATCTCTTCAACTCTTTTAATTCTACAGGAAGAGAAGATTAAGGTCGTTTATTTGAATATGGAAAAGCACATGAGAGTGGTCTGCCTATTTGGAAGACTTTCTAAGGCAAAATGGCTTGTATTCACATTACAGAGAAGATTAAGGTTGTTTATTTGAATATGGAAAAGCACATGAGAGTGGTCTGCCTATTTGGAAGACTTTCTAAGGCAAAATGGCTTGTATTCACATTACACATGGAGAAAAATCACAAAAATTAATCATGCAGCCAGCCCCATTCACCTAAGTTTGAACTCAGGATAAACTAACATTATTCAGTAGTTTTCAACCATTCAGTTACTGGTTTGGGCCTAAAGATTAAAGATTAAGGCTTTGGGATTTAAATAAATGAATTTAAAATGTATGTGTAAGAAAAATAATTTAAAATTTACAAATACTGGTAATTTATTTTGTGACAAAAATTATGACTGTAAATCAAAAGCTTTTAAATCAAACGTTGAAACACTTAAAGAAAAATTACATGAGAAAATGAAAGTAATTACAGCATTTCTGATGATTGCAGAATAGCATTTTAGCAAAATTATCTGTAGTATTTTTTTTTTTAATTTATTAACACAACAGACAATATCTCTGACATCAAACAGCAATCTCAGAGAAAATAATTCTAGCAAATAAAAAATGAACCAACTGAAAGTTATACAGAAGTTGAAACAAAATAAAGTTTTAAATATTTTAATACTTTTCTTGTGGAAAATTTACTTGTGCTTCTGCAATTTTGAACATAGTTTATAAAACTCCACTACAGAATTCCATTTTTTTATGAGTTAGTAATACAGTTATAAAATGTGTTATAAACAAAATAATTTTCAAAAAGCATACAATTTCCAATTATGCTCATTCAGTTCTTTTTATTTATTTATTTACATGAAAATTGTATTATCATGAAAATGTTGGTATATTTATACAACATCAAAAGCTTGTATAATTTTTTTTCCATAAAATTACAAAAGCACTATAACTGCATGGCACAAGCTAAATACATTTAATTGTATATTTCTTTTCAAAAGAACTTTAAATTTTAAAAAAATTACTTGAAAGAGAGAACTTAAATTAAATATGGCATTATTATTTTTCTATATACTATAGTTTCTTCCATTGCTGGCAAATTCCTATTTTAAAATTGTTAAGCTTAAGTAAAAAAAAAAAAAAAAAATATCACAATTTGTCTATCAAAATCCTTGGAACTTAAAATAAAATTTAAAAAAATGTATATAAAATTATATATAAAAATGATAAAAAAGTTACTTGACTGAACGATTGTTATGAACAGGATTGCCTGAAGAGTGCACATGGCTACCAGAATTGGACACATCTGAAATTTTGGTAACATCTACTGAGGTGGTTGTGATAATATATGTAATACTGAAATTCCTTAATATGATACAGAATTAACATTAAAATAATTTCATAAATCATTATCAGACTGCAATAAGAATAATAGATATAAAAATAATTTCAAACAACTCAACTGATATAATCCTGAAATACCCTCAAATACCGTACAACATTCCAGAAGGCGTGTTTGAAAAATCAGATTGAAAGAAAATTGCACTAAATTGTACAAAATTACCTTGTGATGTGGTCTTCCATACTCATCCAAATCCTACAAAATCAAAATAATTTACTGTCAGTAGCAGAACCAAAATATTTTTAGAAATATTTATATTAATCAAATTTTAATTATTATTTGAAGAAACTTAAAAGAAAATAGTGAAATAGATATTTCACAACAAATATTCACTATAATTTAAAATTATTTTTCAACAATTATGCATTTGAATAAATAAAATGATAGATTTAAGTTCATGACAAAACAGAAAACTAAATTATAATTGTAATGAAATGTAAACAATATGCAGGTCTTTAGTTTAGAACATTTAATCAATCTATAATTTTAACTTACTTCAATCAATTCACCATAAGTTTTCTGAAATTTTTTCTCTTTTTGAGGTTCAATGTTTTTCTTCTTTCGTTTTTTCTCTCTACCAAAGACCACTTTATCCCATAACTTAAGCCAATGCAACAAAGTTCGATTAATACCCTACAGAAATAATATTGCTAGATAATTATTAAACTAAAAACTCCTTTCAAGGAGAAAAAAAAGAAGTTTGTTTAAAGCAGTAATATAAAAACAACAAACAGAATTTTAAATTTCATGCTACCTCTTCACTTAAAAGATGCATATATGATAGTGGACGATATTTTTCAACCCACAGCAAACTTTCCACCTTTCTCTCTTCTATTAAATCTTCTGTTGTATCCATCTGAAGGTTATCACTTTGTGATGCTTGGATATCACCACTTTTCAATGTATTTTCTTCCTAAAAATAAATATACTTTTTATGGCTAATTCATGAAAATAAATGTTTGGTAAAATTTATTGGAAAAGTTTAATTTTACTTAAAACAACTTTGAGTGTCAGGTATAATATACATATTGAAACATGTTCATAACAGTAGAAACAAAACAACCTGTTGATATATTACTTAACTTAAGAGCTAATGCATTGTTAATTATTGAAGTCAAACAACAAAAATCAACGTTTTTGTTGTTTGACTTTTAAATAAATATTTGTTTAGCGTGTTATTTTACCTCATTTAATACATTGAATTTCATTATAATCTGCAATCGTGTAAATGTCATATTGTATTTTCATCAAAGAAGAAATCATTTAAAAAATTAGTAATAGCTGATATAGCTGAAAGAAATGCATAAAAGAATTATTAAAATTTAAATTTATTTAAAGTTTATATAATTTCTTTAGCAATGCGCATTTTGTTGTTGGGGGGTGACGGAATCCAATAAATTTATTTTGCTTATAATCTAATAAATAATTTGGCAACTTATTCATTAAAGCAAAGTTATAATTTTCTTGTAAAAGAAAGGGGGAATCCAAATCCTAATCTTTGGAACATTTTACCGATAAATTGTGCTGTTAATAATCCCCTTCATAATTCCACGGCCCTTAAATTTTATTAGTTTCAAACTGAAACAAAGTATAATTATAATGGCCTGTTATTTGTAGAGATGTATTTGTCTAATATTAACAGAACAATCATAACTTAGCCATATCATTAGCATTATAATCAACTCCCCCTTCCCAAAATGATGCACAATGAGAAGTATGCAAAAACAAAATGCGAAGTTTTACAGTTAAAAGACTTATACAGCAATAAATACTCAGATGAAGAACACCATGAATAATTATTATAATAAATATTCAAATGTATTTGGTTTCTAAAATACTACACTTCTATAATAAATTTAAACCACATTTGAAATACAGCCATAATACATTTAGATCAAAATGTATGATAGCAATAAAGGCACTTATGTATTAATGTAATTACTTTGGTGATTTTTTACAGATGTAAATTTAAGTTACTTATCAGGTGCAAGTTGCTGCTTTTTGAGCCCCCCCCCTTTTTTTTTTTTAGAAAAATTCCTAAACTATCGATATTTATCATAAATCAGTAAACATTATCAACAAATGAAAAGAAAACACACTTTAGAAATTTCAAATATAAACTTGAATTACTAAATAAAGATTATGTAATACATTGAAAATAAAATACTTAACATACTTTTACAAATCTTTTTGTAATTTTTTTTCTGCTATTCTCCTGAAGTACACAGTGATCTATTTTTCCTTAAAAAAGCATCAGAGAATTATGGGAACTGAGCTGTGTGCAATCCTCTGCAATAGCAGCTATCGAGGAAACACATTTTCTCATTATACCCTTTAGAAATTCTCAGCAAAATTTTGTATTATTCCAGAAATTCTACTGCAGTTTTTCTCATTGCTGGTAAATTCTAAACTCATATTTTAAAACTAAGGCAAAAAATATGCAATTCGTTTATAAAAATCATTGGAGTTTGGACTACAAACACAACAAAAAAAAGTGCAGATGAAAATGGCCACATTGCTTGACTGAAGAATTGTTATGAGCACAATTATCAGAAGGATGGGTTATGCTCACGGTTGCCAGAGTTTGTCACTTCCTGTGAATTGGCGATTTCTACTCAGGTGGTTGCATTAAATCATAAGTACCACAATAAAAATGTAAATGCATGAATTCGTAATACAACAGTTATGTAATTAATCCATGACAAATTTGTAATACAATTATGCATTGCACATATAGTACAGCTATGATACACATTAATAATGCCGCTATAATACATTTAGATCAAAATGAATTATACCACTAAATATCTAAATGCAGAAATTGATGAATTCTTATTATATTCAGGATGATTTTTAAAGTAATACACAGCATAAAGAAGTAGCTGGAAAGACAGTAAATCAGGCATCCTAGCTTCCAAAATTCTCAAAATAGATTATTCTTCAAAAGTTAATGATTTTAATCTTAAGCCTTTTTTTGCCTGAATAGTTTTTTTCCACTTTTATGATATAATAACATTTCTCCAAATCAAAAACATTACATAACTCCAAAATTAATCTTTTCCTCACCATAAATGATAATTTCACATATTTTAAACAGAACTATTAACCCTAATTCTTGATAATTTTTTATAAAAACTGTTCTGATATAAAACTAATTTTTGCTTTTAAATATTATTACTTTTAATTCTTCCTAAGCCTAATTTCACAAACCTTTCTCCAAATTATTGATTTGATCTTATGTAAATAGAATTGTTGGTGGCTATCAATGTGGATTATGTACAGGTAAATCCACTATGGACCATGACTTTGGTCTTAGACAAAGTTTGGAGAAATCCCATGAATTTAACAGTGATTTGCATTTCTTGTTTATTGACCACAAAACGGCATATGATTCTACTGACAGTGAATTATTGAGAGCAATACATGATTTTGACATTTCTTTAAAACTGATAAAATTGGTAAAAATAACACTTAGTATGACTTTTTGCAAGGTTTAAGAATAACTCTCTAGTGGTTTTCTTATCAATAAGGGAGTTAGACAAGGAGATGCCCTCTCATATCTTTTATTTACAATTGCATTGGAGAGGCAGTCTGCAGTAAACACCAGGGGCATTTTTTTTTTTTTTTTAGAAAATCTGTTAAGTACTGGCATTTGCAGATGACACAGCACTGGTGGCTAGAAGCAAAAGATATCTAATAGGAGCATTTGAAACTATTGAGAGGGAGGTTAAATCAGTAGGCCTAATTATTAACCAAGATAACCCTCTATATGACTAATTATTGGAAATACTTACACCCCAACTCACCTGTTAAATGAGGATTATAAATCTGAAACTGTTACAGATTTCATTTACCTGGGATTGATGTTTAACATGAACAATGAAATCCTATCAGAAATAAAACAATACATGGTTGTGTCTAATAAAGCTTTTTATGGATTAAAGCATTTATTTAGATCTGGCTTTTTACGAGGAAAGACAATTCCTCTATAAGACACTAAACTGTCCTGACTTATGCTTCAGAGACCTGGACTATGACCATGAAGGAGGAAGGGTTCTTGGGTACTTTTGAAGGCAAGGTCTTGAGAAATGTTTTCGATGGAATTCAGAAAAATGGTACCTGGAAGTCGAACCCAACACCAAATTATACTGAATGTTCAAAGAGCCTGGTGTTGTTCATTACATTAAAATAAGCTGCCTAAATTGGGCTGGGCATGTTATCCGTATGAATGACAGTAACATACTAAAAGAAGTATTTCCACTAGACCAAAAAACAAGAAGAGGAAGACCTATGCTTTGACAGAGAGATACACAGGACAATTGTTAGTCCTTAAAACTAGGAACTGGAGAAGTTTGGCTACTAATAGAGGTGGTTGGAAACATCTAGTTCAGAAGGCCATGGCCCACTCTAGCCTGTCAAGTCATGGACAGGGTTGCCACTCAAACAGGAGAATGAAATTCCCTGACTTTACCAGGTTTTCCAGATATGTTTTGAGAAAATTCCAGTCTATCCGCGTAATGTACGTTGGCTGCGCTAAGAGGTAAATTAATTATGGTATTACTTGTACTGTGTAGCAAATTCACTTAATTATTCAATAAATCCCAGAGGACATTTATTCTTAATTATTCTTGGTACACTTTGTTTGATAATTTTGTTTACTTTTCCGCTTAAAAAACTTAATAAAATTTAACTACATTGGATAACAACTGTACGTTTTATTTAATTATTACTCATGATCATCCCCAGTTCAACATGAGGCTAATCCGGTTCTTATAAATCATAACGCAATGCTAAAAGTTAGGTTAGATTTTAGGTAAATTTAATTTGTGTGAGGTGTATTCTTAAAAGGCACCTTAACACTTGAAAACACAAATATAATTATAATAGGAGTTGTTTTCTCCACTGAAGATTGAGATTAGTATCTGCCCAATCTGGAATAAAATAAGGCTTTTTTTGCAGACATTCTGCAGCTAAACGAAAGAAAGAAATCTATTTAATGATATTTTTTTACTAAATTGAGGTATTTTATATTTATTTCACAGCATACAAAAGGAAAAAATATGTGCATTAAATTTCGTGATGTCATCATACTACTAGAATTAATTTCAGGATTATGCCAGAGAAAATTTCCTGAAATTTGGAAATACTATTTACTAATGATAAATTTAGAGGGAAGAAGCAACATCAAATGATATGAATAACATAAAAATAAAGATAATTACTTAAAAATTTAATTAGAATAATCAACGATATTTTAGCGAATATAGTTATATTACATGGTTATCCTAGATGATTGATTACTATTTTTTTATTTTACTGCAAAATGACAAGGTATTTATTAAAAAGAAAAGAAAAAAAAAAGATTTTGCAGTAAAATCCTAGTATACGATACGGCCTTCGCATGATTTTGAAAATTGTCGCCAAGAACAAAATGACCCGTTTACTGCTCATCATTATGTTGCCAAATCCCGCTGTACCATACATGGAGATTATTCTGACCAAAGAATGTCATGTAAAAAGCGGAGGGAAAATTTGCCAAGGGATTTGACGACGGAACGGCCAGAATTTCTCTCTTCGCGATGTGTACAGGAAATTGAGAAACACGTGTTAAGAAGAAACGTTCTTTGACAAAAAAGAAAACTACGAAAATCCGTTTTTAAATTATTGCAAAAAATCCAAGAAGAAACGTTTTATTAAAGAACGTTTTTTTCTTGGATTTTTCGGAATAATTTTAAAAACGGATTTTCGTAGATTTTTTTTTCCCCTCTCAAAATAACTAATCCATGAATTAATTTACTTGCGCCAAAAAATATTTTCTTTTCCTTTTTTTTAAATGATATTCATTTTATGAACTCTTGATAACGTGATCTTCGAACTTCGACACCGGTTTCGAGCTTTGGCGACAGATATATCGTGCATGCACAGCTGTTTCCCGCTATGATGGAACCGAGCCACGTCTGTTGCAGAGAGGTTTTCCTTCTTTACAATACATATTTTTTTAATTCTAATCTTCATGGTACCGTATACTAGGATTAAACCAATTTTGTTTTATACGAGAACAGGTACTTTCTTTAGTTCATGCACTGCACATGCTATTCTCGAGGTTACTGGAAACCAAAAGATGCAGGAAACTTGCTTTACCTTTCTAAAAAACAATCAAATTGGAGCTGCGAAAATTGGCTCTATGCCAGCTGCCCGAATGACACGTGATACACAATTCGCCAAAAAAGTGATCTCTTCCGACGTCGGCGCAAAACTCACTTTTTTGGCGGGATCGTTGTATGAAATTCCCGGACTTTTCCAGATTTTGACTAAAATATTTAAATTCCCTGACGTTTCCCTGAATTTTTTGGTCAATTTCCGAATTCCCTGACTTTTTCCGGTTTTCCAGGTAGCGTGGCAACCCTGCATGGATGATGATGACGCCTAATTTTCTTCCCAAAAAGAAAATATATATGCAAAAATTTTTGAAATCCTTTCTAATCCAAGACTACATATCTTCACATCAAACATATGTGCATTTCAAGAATTCAAATTCACATTCTTTAAAATGACCAACTTTTAAAATAAATTTACATCACTTAAAGTCTCTGGAAGACAATACCCATGATTTAGTTTTAATTTTTAAATATAATTCAAAAGTAAATATGTCAACATATGAAGTATGAAAACTCATTTTATGAAGGAAAAGTAAAATTTTCTTCTGAAAATGAGATGCCAGTTTCTCCCAACATCTCAAATGATAACAAAACACTAAGCCCCCATTTAAAACAATTTTAATTAGCATGCTAGTCAAATCAGCCCAGTTTATTCACTGTAAACTGTTTTTACTTAACATGGTCAGACATTATTTTTAAATACACTGAGAAGCCAAAACATTATGACCATCCTCAAATTGTTCAATGAACTGTTCTGGATGACGTGTAGGGGGTGTGATTAAGTGGGAATGGTATGTAACTGCTGTTGGAGATGGTAAGGAATCATTCTTGCACTTACTTTTGCGAGTGACGGAAAAGGCTGCCGACCTAAGAAAATTTGATAAAAGGCAGATTGTAATTGGCCGAAGATTAGGAACGAGTATCTCCAAAACTGCACGACTGGTAGGTTGTTCATGATCTGCCACTGTTAATATTTATGTAAAGTGGATAAATGATGGTGACACCAGTAGTACACACCAAGACGCTGGACATCCATGCATCATCAAAGCAAAAGGAAGCCGGAGACTGTTCTCCTTGATACAGTAAAATCGGCCCCACACAGTGGCTCAGCTGATAGCCTAAAAGTGCAGGTTCAAGTTCAAGTGTTTCAGAACTCATAGTTCAGCGGACACTGTTGGATATGGAACTGCGCAGCAGATGTCCTACTTGTGTGCCTCTATTGACCAAGCGTCATTGTCAACTATACCTACAGTGGGCCGGGAACATCGAGACTGGATCATGGATAAGTGGAAGACAGCCTGGTCGGATGAATCATGATTTCTCATTTATCACGTCGATGTTTGTAGCAGTGTACACCATCTTTCAGAGGAACAATTGCTCCTCCCTTGTACAGCAGATCATACACATGTTGGTAGTGGAGGTATTGTGCTTTGAGAGATGTTCTCATGGGCTGCTCAGGGGAGCCTTAGTTGTTGTAGAACAGACCATGAAAGCTGTGGACTATCTAAACATAACCGCAGATCAGTTGCACCCTTATATGGCGTCTTTCTTCCCAACTGTGAATTATATTTCCAGCAGGACAACGCCTCATGTCACAAGGCTCGAATTGTGTTGGAGTGGTTCGAGGAGCATTAGAATGAATTTCAATTAATGTCCTGGCCACCTAACATGCTGGATTTTGACCCAGTAGAGCACAATTTGGTTGTCATGGAGCAAAGACATGTAGAAAGCACAATGCAAGACTTATACAAAGAGAAACTAAATATACCAAAGTTGTTCTTCAAAAAGTATTTTCACAAAATGCTGAACCTAACCCTCTATCCTTATTACATGGCACCTTTTTGTTGAGATGAATGGTTGAAAGGTAGGTGAAAATGCATAGCCAATAGTGGTAATAACTAAGGTATTCAAGATTTGGCTAATGGAATAAAGAACAATTATATTTTGGGCAATGATGTTAAAATAAAAGAATTCAATATTGTAAAATAAATTGAGTGATAATTACCATGATGAAGTATTGGGATTTTAGTTCCTCAATAGGAGTCGATAATAAAGTACTTGTTCTCTGACTGAAACTCGGAACCTGTCAAAAATAAATAAATAAATAATTGCACAGAAAATTTTACATATGTTGAAATGCAGGTTTCCAGTGAAAATTTAAATTAAAATATAATTACTATGTTTTTTTCATCATCTTCTTCATTTACAAAAAAATATATACGACGTCCATCAGAGCGTGTTAAGGGAAGTCTTTCTTTTTCAAAAAAGCTAACTGGCTTATCAGCTATAGACATTCTTTTGGAAGGTTGCAACTTCGGTGAATTCTCAAGAGAATGGCATTGCTTTTTGCCTGGGAAAGCATATATACATTTTAGGTTTGCATATTTTATTAATTTTTGAGTGCATTTCATTACAAAAAAATTGCATTTTCCTACATGGCACAGAATTAATTTTAAAAATTAACCTCTCATAAATTAAAAAAAAAATTAAAAATCAGTAAAATGAAATAACCTGGGGCTTGTAAGAGACTTTCATCTTCATTATCAGATAGCTTTGAAAATTTTCTTTTCCCACTTTGTGAAATTAAACTCTCGCTGCATTCTAAATCACTATCTGACTCATCTGGACAAGCATTATCTTCTGTACACATACTTTCATCAATAAACAGTGTTCGAGGAGCAAGAGAAGAGCAATACTCTAAAATTGTAATAAAAATATGTAATTATCTAAACAAAAAAATGCATAAGAACAAATTACATATTTAAAAAAAAATCAGGTAATCATAATATTCAGCATTAAAAAAACTTTGCAGCTGTATTATAATTATAAAATTAGAGATAATTTTCTGTTTTTTCTTCACGAATTACATGGAATGATCAAAAGCTTCAATTTAACAGCACTGAAATTGTGTGTATGATGCATATCATCCTCAAGGTATGCCACTTATAAAAGCCATCATCTTGCTATATGATGAAGAAGATGGAAGAAGCAACATTAAATGATACGAATAGCATAAAATAAAGATAATTACTTAAAAACTGAATTAGAATAATCAACAATATTTTGGTGAATATAGTTATATTAAATGGTTAGCCTAGGTGACTGGATTTTATGTTACTGCAAAATGACAAATAAGGCATTTATTAAAAAGAAAAAAAAAAGGGTTAAAAGATTTTTTGGTAAAATCCTAGTGTACGCTATGGCCTTGGCACGATTTTGAAAATTGTCGCCAACACCAAAACGACCCGTTTACTGCTCATCGTGACTACGCCAAATCCCGTGTGTACCATATATGGAGGTTAGAGTAGAATACATGGAGGCTATTTTAATCTCCATGGTACCCTATAGTAGTATTAAATAGATTTTGTTTTATACGAGAATACATATTTGCTTTGGCTCAGCATGCAATGCATATGCGCATGCGAGTCTCTCGATTCTCGAGGTTACTGGAAACTTACTTTGCCTTTATAAAAAGACAATCTAATTGGAGCTGCGAAAGGTGGCTCCAGCTTTCGCACCCAGCTGGCCAAATGATTATCATGCGATACATAATTTGCCAAGAAAGTGATCACTTCCAAAGTTACCACAAAACTCTCTTTTGAGAGAGGTTTTCCTTCTTTACAATACATACTTTTTTTAATTCTAATCTTCATGGTACCATATACTAGGATTAAACCAATTCTGTTTTATACGAGAACAGGTACTTTCTTTAGTTCATGCACTGCACATGCTATTCTTGAGGTTACTGGAAACCAAAAGATGCAGGAAACTGGCTTTGCCTTTCTAAAAAGACAATCAAATTAGAGCTGCAAAAATTGGCTCTATGCCAGCTGCCCGAATGACACGTGATACACAATTCGCCAAAAAAGTGATCTCTTCCGACGTCGGCGCAAAACTCACTTTTTTGGCGGGATCGCCATATGAAATTCCTTACTATTCCAAAATTTGACTAAAATATTTAAATTTCCTGACTTTTCCCTGCATTTTTTGGTCAATTTTCGAATCCCCTGACTTTTTCCGGTTTTCCAGTTAGCGTGGCAACCCTGTGATATGGGCTTGCCCATGTATAGTACCAAAATATGCTCAACACAAATTTCACCTCTGAAAAACCAGTTTTATTTTAGTCCTGAAACTGCAGCAGAAATATTGACAAATATTTGTTACAAGAAATCATAACTTCCATCGCAATCACTATCGCAAATTCATCCTCGACTTACACATGTATGGGGAAAATAAGATTCTTTGACCATCACAAATTTTTTTATGTCATACTAGCAGGAGAATTAAGACATGATAAGAGTGAAAAATGTCCAGCTATTTTTACAGATTTTTCATTCTTTTTCATAGCTATGAAGGATAAAAATCATATGGCGAAGCATAAGGACATATTAACCAAAAATGGCGAGACTACATTGACAAATTTGATAAATAATAATGACAAATTTGATAATAGATAAAATTGACAAATTTTGCTGAATAAAAAAGGTTTTAAAGAAATCTAACTAAACTAATAAGTAAAAATAACAATTAAATAACCCATTCTTCATATTTTTCTACATTTTTAATGAAATATAATAAAACACAAAAATAGTTGTATATTGCTTTATGCACTAATATGCATATCACCTGAATTTTCAACGTGTTTAAGAGGGCTGCTTGAAATTTCCAGAACATCTTTTGTTGTACTTTTAACAGGTTCGACAACACCTCCAACACAATTTTCTTTTTCCTCTGTCTTATCACAGTCTTCATTTGAAACTGAATAATTTATGGAACAATGCTCTAAAAATTTTAAAAAGAAATTGATATAGTCATTTAAAAAACATGCATTATCAGTTTCTGCAAATCAATTAGAAACAAAAAGAGAATTTTAATCAATCAAAATGAAATAAATAAAGCCAAAACTAAATGAAATGGTTTAAAATATATAATAGATAAGAAATTTTTAGAGGACTACTATATCAAAGAATGCTTTTTTCTTTTTTTTCTTAAAAGGAAATTTTTATAACAGCTGACCTTCATTTAGGAGTTTGGGGCACTGACATTCTGCTGCAGGTGCAAATTCGCAGATTATGACTTTATTCTTATAAACTTAGCCATTTATGACCTGCTTCTGACCAGAAGCCATATCTTTAATACAAATTGCTAGATTAATATATATTACATGCCATATTTGCATAAGTGAGAGAAAAGAAAACCATAAGGATGATAAAATATATTGCACTGTAGTAACTTATGTTTACAATACAGATTTAGACAAGCTGTGTACAAGACAGTTTTTCTTCCCAGTAACTATCCTATCAATACTGTTTTATGGAATATATAATGATGTGTGTCTCATATGTATTACTAACACAAAAAAATCAAAAATGAATAAAAATGCTTAAAAAGAATAAATTGCAGTAAATCACACCTGACAGTTTTCCAATAAAATAAATAGAAATATCTAAAGCTGCCAAATGATAAAAATAATCTTTGCTGATAAACAAACCAAAAAATCAAAATAGAATTAAATTTGAAACTGTGACATTGGTTTCTTTATTTTTGTTCTGAAAATATTTTTGTCCTTTTATATATTTTCAGTAATGCATAATTTGGTAAGATGATTCAATTTTCCCTTACTTATGTTTGATAGAACGAAACATTATGTTTTGGGTGTCTGGGCCAAAGTCCTAGCCTAATTTAGCTTGTGATTGACTTTTGAGAAAACATGATAGCATATTTGGGGAAATAGCAATTTAAGAAGTCAGGAAAAGGTAAAGTTACAAGCATCAAGTTGGTTGGAATAGCAGCACCAATTTTTAAGATTAACAATTAGTTGGGAGAAAGGAGTAGTAGACTTTTTTCAGGACGTTCATATTCCTTAATCATGATTAAGCAAAAACAGATTTCAGATGAGATTTCATTAAAAGCTTCTCACAATATTACTTTCTCAAGAAAAATAAGACTTTCTAAAATAATAAATAAATGTAATGAATAATGTAAATTCAGTGTCATTTGTTAAGCATCCAGCTTTTTCATCATACAAAGACTTCATATACAAAGAAAACAAAGGCATAAAAAGAAGTCACACCTTATAATGAATATAAAATCTATTTCCTGTAAAATAATCAGTAAAACATATTGTTGCAAGTACGTTTATGTAAAGAAATGCAAAATTCAATTGGAAATTCACAATCTCTTAGCTGAATCTCTGAGAAATAACTAACATAAATACATTAAACTTCTACTATCTAAAACTGCTCAAGGAAATTAGAGCAAAGAAAAAAGCTAAAGAATGAAACAAATTTATTGCACTTATACATGTTTTTAGATAAAAATTTTCCATGTTATTCAACATTAATAGATATTTTTTTTTAATGGGTAGTTACATTTCATGTCTAGAATCATTCAGGTGATAATGTCTCCGGAACTTACTCTACGGTACCCCTTGGCAAATCGTTTCTTTTTTGACCCCAAGATCTGCACCAGGAAGGATCGACACCAATTTCAAGATGGTGCCGTTAATTCTGCTCGCTACACAAACAAAAACAAAAATTCAAAGACTTACACAAACTCAGTGTCCAGGTACACATCGACCTATTTTAACTTGAAAAAAATCAGAGAATTGTACAAATCAGGCATTGCACACTGCCTATGTTCATGTACACATCAATCTATTTTCACTTGAACAAAATCAAGAAGCTAAAACAAAGTTAAAACTATAATGTTAACCAGAAAAAATTCGCCACTGTCTTAACACACAGAGATGAACAAATAACTCAAAATACTCAGAGAGTAATAAATAACCAAAAATAAATATTTTCTAACATAAAAACATTAGACAACAAATCTTTTAACAAAAATTAACACACAAAGATGAATAAATAAATAACACGTCAATTTTTTAACATACCTTTTTTCACGTGAATACATGCTTCCCACCACTCTATGCTTCCTATCACTCTATCCTCTCCGTACTACTCTATCCTCCCCGTACTCCTCTATCCTCCCCGTAAGCAATTTGGTCGTTTCGGCTCATCCACTGTTAATGGCGGATAAATACATATAACAGCATCCAAATCATCAACATTCATCCTCTTACTTAGCTCAGACATACTCAAACGATGGTACCCACATCAAAATACAACACTAACGCACATGCAACCAAACACAGTAATTGAAAAGAATGGTAAGAATCAAAAAACTATTTATGGTTTGCAATGAACCATTGAAACAGAAATCAAACATGCTAAGCTTCTGTTATTTTTGTGTGCTTTAATGTTCTTAATAGATTAAAAATTTTATCAGGCACCCTCAGTCTTATGGCTGCATATAAAGAGTGAAAGATAAATTATTTTGGCATAGAGTTCAAAACTGCCCACTCTCCACACACACAGCATTCTTCAATGAACTGGATGCAATTTCAAAAATTTACTTAGATCAGGTAGAAAGAGATTTAAAATTAAAAGCAGCAATCATTAATATTATTAAAGCAAACAAAGCACAGTACCAAAAATAGAATTCATGAACAGAAATTATAATTAATCTGTAATTAAACAAAATGAGAAAAAATAATGTGAAGTAGGCAAAACATAATGCTCAGTTTGAAATGAAAAATAACCAGATCAGTTAAAACCTTAATGCTTATTTATGCACTGGATTATTTTTTCATTTCATTATCATGAAAATAATTACTGCATCCAAATAATTATAATATCTAGAAGTATTTCTTTTTTAACACTTTTTTACAAAATACCAATGTCATCTCAATAAAATACTCATAATTATTATTTGCAAAACAGAAAATGTTTTTGAAGTACTTTAAAACAAAGTAATTACCACTGTTTCCTGAATGGTTTGATGATTCTTTTCGTCCTTTGGGTAGATTATCTTTCAGTACAGGTATCTGACTTGCTTTGATATTGCTATTATTTTCATTCTTGCTTGAAGAAGAATGCTTCTTCATTGCAAAGGAAAATGGATCAAAATCATATTCATCAGCTAGAATTAAAATTGAACACATAAAATAAATAACCATAAAAATTAGTTTTGCTTCCTGATTGCTTGATTTAATTAAGAGATGGCATGAAAGGGAAAAGAATGGTTTCAATACATGTAATTTTAACGAACAGTGAACAAAATATTACCCTAAAAAAATTAGCACCTGAAAAAGCTAAGTAAGGGTCTTTAAGTGGGGTAAAGTGCAGAATCGCCCACTTATTTGTTTGGCGCTTTTTTCAAGAGTAAGAAGAATTGGATTTTTGTCAATTTTCTTTGACATTTTAAGTGACAATAAGTCGATGTGTACATAGATAAAGTCAAGGGAGTGCGCAACGCCTTTTTTGTACAATTCTGGGAAGTTTTTTTAAAGTGAAAATAGGTCGATGTGTACATGGATACCGAGTATGTGCAATTCTTAAAAACGCGCCAAGCAGTGGGTGATTCTGCACTTTGCCCTTTAAGTGTATGCAAATTATTGACATTAATTGGCAACATATAATGATGTTGACTTGATAACTAATTGATAACAAATTTTGAAATACAGACTTACGATCTGCTGAATCCAATTCATTTAATGTCTCTAATTCCTCTTGATGCTGGAGTTCAAATAACTCTTCTTCCGTTAAAAAATCCATTTCAATTTACGACTTACTTTAAAAGAACAAAATTAAAAGCAGTATATCACATGCCATTCATTTGAAAGTATGGTGTTCTAATTTTAGATTAATACGAAAGATTAATAATTTTTTTTTCTAGATTATCATAATTAAAATATAGTAATCGAAACAGTTCGTGGAAGCAAGTACAATTTGTAAATAGTAAATTTCCCTCCAAATTTAATTCACGGTTGCAGTTAAAATAATTATGCTGCATTCTTTTCTCTCGTTTGACTAAAAGAAAATAATTACATAAGTGCCAATTAAAACAATATTAATATTATAGTTTAATTTCTTCAGTAAGACCTCGATGAAATATGCTATATATAAAAAGAATAATAAATGAAAATGCTTTGAAAATTACGTGTGTGAAAATTCTTTATTACTGTATTACAAAATGTACTCTGTTTTGCATTTAATATTTAGTCCATAATTTTATTTGACCTTTTTTTAACCAAGAGTATTTTTTCATTCAAAACCTTCAAAACAGCACTTAAAACTACTACTTTTCATGCTCTGCCTTTCTAGGCTGGTTTCCCCGCCCCCTTGAATTCGTCGTCTGCTAAGCATGCGCCGAAAAGACAGCGCGAGCTTCATGTTCTAATAAAAGATACTTTTTAACGAGCAAAGGACTACTGAATCAGAAATATGAGCATCTAACAAGTGGGTTTCCTTAAGCGCCTATATGTAACAAAAGATATCCAAATTTTTCTTTGATTCGGTAGTATAATTATTTGTTTCGAAATTAAATGGCTATTAAAAATTATTTATTGTACTTGTTAATTTTAATCGGTCCATTCATACTATGTTGTCAAAGTAAGTTAAGTATTTATTTCCTGTATTAATAAAACTATTTTACATGTTGTTCCTTAATTAAAGATATTAATTCTTATAAACAAGTATATGAATGAATGCAAACTTAAAATATGGCAATCTCAGCATTAAAGTATTTATATCTTTCGATATGCAAAGTTTAGATCTTGACTCCAAAATAATAATAAAAATAATACGTCGACGTTATAAATTACTTATGATAAATTACTTATATACAAAGAGTTGAATCTTTTATTGCAGTTTTCTTTAATTTGTTTGAAAATTTATTATATTAAATTTAATTTTTCTTCGTCTTTAGTTAAAATTGAAAGATAATAAATATTAAATGAAGTGAAGATAATCGAAATGTCTTTATATGACATATTAAATTAAGAACATTTCAAAATGGTTTTCGCTTGTTTAAGAAAATTTTATTAATTTTTTCCCTTAATAAAATAATAAATTAAAATTAAATTGCAATCCTAAAATTTCAGATTATAACATCTTGAAGAGTTTACTTACATTTAAATTAAAAAAATATTAGCAAAATAGTTTTACAAGTTTTAAATATGAAAAACATAAAATTTTATAAAAATTGCAATTTGAAGTATGGAGTTGTAATTTTAAAAAATTCATTTGTTTGCTAACTCCTAAAATCATTTTAAACTAAACACTTTCGATTATTGTACTAGTTTAAAAATTAACTGCTCATAAATTCAAGATGTAGAACATCAAATCATATATTTAAGACGAGCTGTTCAAAATAGCAGTGCAAAACCAAAGCGAGGAAAAAATGCTATGATATTCTTTCAGCGAAATTTAGCTTCACGTGGATATTTATGCAGTTATTTAATAAATAAAAGACCTTATTTTCCAAAACATAAAATGTGTATTTACTTCCCTGCAACATTTGCGCACGAGATTTACAACAAGAATTATATTCTAAAAGAAGTTGTAATTTTCGGCTTTTTCTGATTACTGCTTTTATATACCTGCTCAGTTTTACAATTTATTAACCCTTTTCTAGTTGTTGCTTTTACATGAAATTAAATAATGCATGGTTTATCTCAGCTTTTATTAACTATTTATTGTTTTGATTAGATGCCTACTTATTTTATATTTAAAAGAAATAAGTAGAGTGAAAACAAATTAATATCCGGGAACTATTTTAATTACATAATTATTAATTTTTTCAACTTGTAAAGTGCAAGAACTTTAAAAAAATAAATCAAAATTTCGGAGTATAAATTAGCGCTTACTACTTTATGTATATTTTATTGCAATTCAGTAAAGAAGGAAAGGGCTGCAATATATTTTAAAATACAGTTAGACAAAAAAAAATTCTGTAATAGCAAATAATTTTCTCGAATTTTCGCTTCTGTTTACTATAAAAGTTCAGTACCGAAATTTCGAGGTCATTGTAAACTCTCAAATTTGGTGCAATAAATTTCAAAATGTTGTATTTTCAGTGCTATTATAGCTAGTGGCAAACTTTAAGCTGTTATTTAAATTTTAAAAAAGGGTTCAAACACTTTTTTTTAGAAAATCAGAGCTTAGAGCGATAACGATAATTCAGGGAAGAGAATTCTTACTGCAACTAAACTAATATAACCATTTCATATTTAGAATAATCTTACTCTTTCTCTCATATTTGTAACAATCTTACTCTCTCCCTCCGTCTCTACCAATGTTAATAAAACTACAATATTTGAAACTGAATACAGAATTTTAGATGAAAAATTAGGCTGTATTTTAATTATATATATTTTTTAAATTTTTTGCAGGTATCTGTTATTACGACGGCCAAGCATATGATGTAAGTACATTTTTGGGGAAATTTAATATTTATGTGCTTCGTACTATACATTTCTTCAATTTCAGATAAGAAATATATTTAACTAATTAGATAATAACCAGGGCGGAATAAGTGTGTGTGTGTGGGGGGGGGTACTTACGTATTATCCCGTCGACTGTGAAAGTTGCCTATCATCAAACCATGAAAGTTAGGTGAGATGCCGCAAATGTTGGAGCGGCACATGTTTTTTCCTGTATACATAACTTCTTCCAGACTGCTGCCATGCTGTGTAAGCTGAGCTCAAAAAGCCAGTAAAGTATTTGTGATTTTCTTCTCTTTTGGAAAAGAAAGTACTTAAAATTCGTCTGTTCAAAAATCTTTACTTTAGCTTAATGATAGAATAAAAAGCGCGTAAGGATCTCAAATCCATCCATTGGAAAGCTCTTTTGATTAAATAAGACTGATATAAATGATTGTAGACTTCTTGTGCTTTGCCATAATAAAATAATTTACGTTCTTTGAACTACAAACTATTATGAATATTACCGGGGCCGCCCAACCGGGTTAGTGGTTAGCGATGCTGATTGCCGTACCAAAGGGCTCGGGTTCTAATCCAGGAGAAGGCATGGATGTTTGTAAATGTATAGTGACTGTGCGGCATGAGGGCACTCTATATATGCGGCAATCCAAAAGTCCTCTCGAGAGGTTTGTGGTAGGGAAAGAGGGGTGGAAGACACTCGGAGCCATCCCTAGGGTCAGAACTGAGAGTCAGAACCTCCATTAAAATTGGGAACAGAACTGAGCAAAGTCGCACTGTCACCTGTGCGGTGCTCAAGGCTCTTGTCAACGATAGGCGCAATCGTTCACTCCTTGCCACGATGAATATCGTGGGCTTGTTCTGATGTTACTTTCAAACAAGTGAGGTAAGAAACAACATATTACCGGGATTTTTTTTTTTTTTTTAAATGATGTAGACAGTGGCATAAAAACTTTGGCTATGTACTGAATAAAGCAATTCGGGAAATATTTCATATGTAAGCTGTTAATGTCATTACTCTTTTGCTTGTGACTTTTTGTAATAATAAATGTAGATTTTTCAGAATAAAGAGATTTTATGCAAAAAAAAAAAACTCTGAGAGAAAATTTAAGAACGTTTAAAACTTTACCTAATTTTTTATTATTCTTTTTTTTTTTTTTTTTTTTTTTTTTTTTTTTTTTTTTGGTGTGTGTGTGTGTGTGTGTGTGTGTGTTGTTGTTGTTGTTGAGGTTTTCATTTCTAAAATATGTCACTCAAAGACACATTTAGAAAAGAAGGTATACTGTTTTCCCGATTTCGACTAATCGATAATATTCTTAAAAATTAGAATATTCATTAATGGATGCATTACCTTATAAGGTATTTCTCCCGCCTTCTTAGCATGCCTTCGTTGTGTAGCGGTCAGCATGCTCGGCGCGTATTCGAGAAGTCCGTGGTTCGAGTCCCGGCGAGGGCATTGCTCATTTTTCATCTCTCCTGCTTTGAAATAGCCTAATATCTCTCTATTGGCGCCCGAACTAAAAACGGTAGTGGATGATGATTCTCCACCACCATGATTTGGCGAATGGGTCCCCTAATCCCCAGTAAGCCTTTAAAAGGGGGAGGATATAAGGTATTTCTCCGCCTTCTTAGCGTGCCTTCGTGGTGTAGTGGCTAAGAATATAATCCCAAAATGAAAAATGCGGTTTTGTTTAAAAATGGTAGCATCAGCAGTTTTGTCAATGTCTCGGAAGTCAAAAGTAATATACTATAGAAAATAAGGAGGGTTTTAGAAGACTCAGATTCTATATGGATTCTGATTTTGATTAAAATGCTTATAAGATATATAAAAACTGTTTGAGATTCCTGAGCCAGAAAAGTGAAAAATGAACTATGCTTTCTCGGGAATTAGAATCACGGATCTTTCAACTGCCAGTTGGAAGCCATATACCACATTTATACCACGAAAGCACGAACGGAGGAATACGTTAATTTTTTACAGTCGTTCCCCACTAAAAAGGTACTGGGAAGAGGCCCAGGACTCAGTCGACAAAGTACAGGTGATAACACTTTAATATCATTTTTTTAACAAAGCTTTGTTTAGGGGTTTATTTAATCATTTGAAGCTCTGATTTTTAAACTAATAAGTAGACTGAGAAATGCATTTCCAAATGAAAATGTACAGGAATTTCTAGCGTAATTTGTCAAATTTTAACGGCTTAAAAAACAAAAAAAAAGAAGATGAAGAAGGAAAGAAACAAAAGAAGAAAGAAAGAAATGGGGACAAAACAAAAGAAAGAAAATTGATGTTTTTTAAATCGGGCACATCTTATCAAAACATGCGATGAACCTGCCAATATAAATTTATTTTTTTCTTTGATTCCTGCGGTTTCTATTTATAGGACAAAATGGACAACACTTATTAAATAACCGTGCTTTTTTCTTCTTTTTTTAGTTGCTAAAAACCGTATTTTTAAATGAAAAATTTAAGTCGCCATTGTTAACAAACTTTTAAATGACAATGAGATCGGATTTCTAGGACAAACATAAAATTTTAATGAACGGAATGTAATCTTAATCTGGTTACTTTACTTTATTTGAATATGGCAAAGCACACGAAGTCTATCTGCCTAAGAGGAGGAATTTCTTCATGGAGGATTTTCAAAGGAAATTTGGCTTGTATTTAAGTTACCACGAAAACCAAGTATGCCGTTAGTTCGTTAGCCTGGGCTCGAACTGGAACAAGCTACCAGTATCTAGCCTTTTCATCGCTCGTCCATTGCCAGGGCTATCTTAATTTGGATAAAAAGAATAATTTTCCCTACGTTCAGAGGCAATAATTTTTCTCTGTTTTGTTTAGCCTTCTATTGCCTAAAACGTATGAAATAAAATAATGAAAAACTTTTATATTATACAGTTTTAATCAAACTCTCAAAAGCGTAAAAAATATTTTCTTTTAGCTATAATTATAATATTTTTTAATCATATGTGTCTAAAAATAAATCTCTTGAGCTGCTGATGATGGTGGATTTTTATCAAAACTGCCCAAAAGAAATTTAAGCAAATCGAATGTAATCATTTTTAAATATATCTTTTCTAAACTATCATTTGATTGATTTATATCCCAACACAAATCGCATAGAGAAGCCTCATGATTTTAGTTTAAGTTTTATAAGATTAAGAATATTATGATAACTAAAAATAAATATATTTTAGTTTTTAGTGCATTTAATTGTAATTATGTAATTTAAGAAGTTTTTTATACGTTTTGTTAATATTGTTAATTGATATTATCTACTATACATGCAATGATAATGGTAGTGTAGTTGACTTCTGGCGCGAAACGTTAAAGGTTATATGAATCCTTCATTATGCACGTAGATACGACTTATAATGTTCTAATAGTGGTGCTGTTATCAGCGATGGATTTTAAATAGGAATTGTAGATAAATATTTAAATAAATTGAAGGTTACCATTCTTATACATGTCATTTGTATGCAATTAATATTAATATTCCTTAAAATTCCCAATACAATGTTTAGAGCACTTCCCGTAGTTATTTTTAGGGACATGTTACGAAAAGTGTTGTCATAGTTTTGCCCCCCTCTATTTAGAGTATTTAAGATTTAAAGGGTAACTTAAAAAGTTTTGTTTCAATTAATTTTTTGTTATTTGCGTAAAAATGCAAACCTATTTATACTAAACTAAAACTATTATGTAAGACATTGTTTTTAGCTATTAAATTAATTTTAGTTTTAATTTATTTTCCCATACTTACATGTTGAGTGCATAAATTCTGAATGCATTAGAAGCTAATCTGTATATTGTTTGTATGTGTCTAAAATAATTTTATATTTTCTTTAAAAATGTATATTACATTACATTCTATTAATTTTATTACTTGAATAAGGAAAAATAAATAAATAAAATACAAATTTAAAAAAATAAATAAATTAACATCAGATTTAATTTTATTTGGAGTGGGTAGAACAAGCGCATTATATAAATGGAATCTTAATAGATATAACTTTACACTGATAAAACAGCCACAGGAAGTACACGAGTATTCTCTTTTAAAAACTCAATGAATGAAAATATTCATTTCTGTCACCGATTTTTGATATCACAATTTAGCCATTATGTTTTTACAGTGAATATCATTTTCATTCATGTTGTTTATTTTTATCCCACGGTCAATTAATATGTGCTGTCCCATTTGATTCTTTAAATAGAAACTGCAGTCATCACATCATATTGGCTGAAAAAAAAAAAAGTAACGAGAAAGAAATTATATTGGTATGTTAATCACATGTTTTGACAAGATGTGTTCATTAAAAAGCATGGTATTACTTATAGCTAGTCAGCATTTTTTTTTTTTTTTTATTTTTACGCAACACTTTTCCTGATATTACTGTAATCCTATCTTTTGAGTAGGTTTGATAACCTCATACATTATTTTGGTAGGTTTCCATTTCAGAAGTTTTTCTTTTATATCAAGACAAAGGCATCTTCCCTTTCAAAGGAGGCCTTTAAACTGAATGTTCAAAATTTCTGATACACTGCTGGCCATTAAAATTGCAGCACCATGAAGAAAAGCAAATACAAAAAAGATATTTATTGCACGTAAACAGTATGCCATGAAGACAAAATGATTAAATTTGTAAGCATTTTGGAGGTTTACAGGGGTGCGAAATTAATAGAAACAGCTGCCACCCCTGGCAGCTAAAACGGCCCTTACCGCATTAGTCATGGAGTTAAACTAGGCTTGTATGACAGAAATGAGCAGGTCATTCCATGCTGCTTCAAGTCTATGCCACACTTCATCAACCACATTAGATGGAGAGGGGTGGCGGGTCAGTCTCTCAGCAAACCATGATCAGATGATACAATCATCTGGTCATAGTTTGCTGACAGTGCCAAATCTGGAGACCTTTCAATGGAGGGATCTTTTAACCGGTAACAGATCTAGAGACCGTGCAGGTCAGGGCAGCAGTCGAATACCCT